GAGATTTCAGAGAACAGGAGAGCACTGCCTTGTTCTGGAGGCAGAGGAGCGAGGCTGCTTTGACAGCTAAAGTTCTGGCTTGGGTGAGGCAGCCAGAAGCATTTTTACTGATTATGAATCAGGACTTTTTAAAGGTCAGGAAAAAAAATAGATAGGGGATTTGACTAGACTTATCCAGTAAGAAAATGTGTAAAGTTTTGGAGTGTTAAACCTTTTTAAGGCCAAACAGAAGATGGTAAAAATGCTAATTCACACCAAGAGTGCATTCACACCAGGCCAGTTCAGTCTGCTTTGATCCAAATCCAGTTTGTTTGACCAGGAAGTCCAGTTCATTTGGGGAGGTGTGAACGTGCCATCGAATTCTGATGTGGACCAGGAAAGCAAACTCTGCTCTGGCTCGGTTCGGATGAAGTTTGAATACATATGTGAATGCCAAACAGAATGGAGACCACTCCAAAAGCAGGAAGTGGACTACAGCGCAAGGCATTCTGGGTAAATACAACCAAAGCAAATGCAAGTCTAGAACTAGTGGGAAAAATGGTTTGTGGTCTTTTAAAGAGACTGCAACTGCTAAAATCTGTTTAAATTATGTTTAAATTTTGTGAAGTTGCACTGGTCCTCTTTGAAAGTCTGTGTCCGATCTCAAATTAGGGATATTCAGGGATGTCCTGTTAAACTTGACATGTAGCCAATCAGAAAGCGAGGTGACGCAAACGTGGAGAGTGATCCAAAATGCAGAACATGGACTTGCTGCCAGGACGCACCAGGACGTCCAGCGGATGTCAGAGACGTCGTTTTGTTGGTTTTATCAGTTAAACAGTCAAACAAATTATCGCCATTGCTTCTTCTTTGTCAGCCATGTTTGTTTACTCTGAACTCATGTTTGATTTTGCAAGATTTCCTCTCTGATGTCTGCGGAGTACACTGTAAATCTTACTTTAAAATCAGGGATTAAACTGAGGTCCATCTCTTTATAGCAGCATCTAGCTTTGGGGTCATATAATTTATTTTGATACATAAATGAGCTGCTCAAACTGCTAATTGAGCCAAAAGTCCTACTTGTTTGTAAGCTCCATTAATCTTGTCGCAATGCTAAAAATGCTGTGCAATGACATTAAATTTAATCTAATTTCTTATTATGATCAGAATTCAGATTTATTCTCGTCTTGATAAATTCCTATTCATGGTGTTTAAAACTCCCTAAGCTGTCCGTATTGTTAGTTTTACCTTTTTCTCCACCATGTCTTCAATGAGAGCATCAATCAGTTTTAAATTATGATTAAATGCAGTTCCTGTGAGCAGCTTAGTGACATAAATCACACTTCTTTATAAACGGGAACGTTTCTGAAGAGCAGTACCATGGAGTCACATTCACAAAAAAAGGAGCAATAAATAGTCGCTTTTTAACAACAGTATCACAAAAAATTGTGATAAAGCCGAAAGTCCATATCGTCAACCCCTAATCTGGAGTAGTGTGACAAATATACCAGGCTGATAAATTGTCCCAGAAGTCACTGATGATAATATTGTTGTTTTGAGACTATTTTCAGTTAAGATAATGATAAAATAATACAAGAACACAATGAACTAACCTTTAAATTCTGATGAACATTTAACACTGGAACTGGAAGACATTTTAAATATCCAACATAAATAAAAACAACAGAAACGAGGAATAAAATGAACAAAACTGTCCTTCAAAAAAAGGAGATAAAACTTTTATCATTCAGTCTTTGGTAGACGGAGAGAAAAGAGAAAAACGATAAATCACACAAATGGAAATTATTGAGCTTATTTTAATTTATCATGATTAACTGAGACAGGCCCAATCTGGAAGTTAAATTATTTCTAAATTTCATTCTAAATCAACATTTTAAAATCTCCACAATAAGACTTTAAACTTCCATTTCTGGGTTGTCTCTAAAGTGAACCTGCATGGTGCAGCGAGTCTGAGTCCTGTAGGGAAAACCTTTTAGCCTCGGCCCGGTCCCAGGACCCCAGAACCTCCCAAAACACCGGGCCCCGGGCGGCCAACAAAACGGGCCCGTCAGCTTGATTTATCGACCATTCACCAACGTCAACACATCGTCACAGAGACTCCTGGCCGCGCAAACGTGAAAAACCTCTTCGCAACAAAGCGGCTCGCATCGCAAAGATGCGCTGCGGCAGATGTGCGTGCGCCGCGGTTAGGTGTGAAAGCACGAATTGGGGGGTCGCAGGAATGTGCATCTTTTGATATGACAAGAATAGGCACGGAAAAAAACAATGGAGGAGAAAGAAATAAAAGAGCCAAGGAGCTGAATAAGTCCGATCAGCAAAAGGAAGATGCTGGAGGAGAGAGCGGCAGGCGGGGGTTTGAAGTAAACATCGATGCCAGATGAATGCAATTTTTCCTTTTCTTCTTCTCCCCATCTCTGCCCCTTCCTTCTCCTCCTCCGAGCGAGAGAACAAGAGGCACTGCATCATCCCGACAGGCGGAGAAAGAGAAGAGAAGGAGAGAGAAAGAGGGATTGTGACGGAGGGATAAAGGGCTATCCGTCTCTGTCTGTCACCTCATTCATCGTCCCCTGCTCCGTCCTGCCGGCCCATCCGTCATCCGCTGTCACAAAAAAAAAACCAAAAAAAAAAACAGACACTCTCCTCCGACTTTCACACACTCGGCAACAACAAACACACACATCAAAGCCGGACACACACACACACACTGACAGCTCCCGGTTTTTAAAAACGGAGTAAACATTTCGGAAGCTCCGAGTCGGGACTCTCCGCCCCGGTTCACACATTCAGCGGCGACAGCGCAAAAAAAACTCTTCATGCACGTATGCACTTCCTTCACAAAATTGAAATTTAACATGAAAATGAGACGCAGACAAAAACCTCCGCCCGACAGCGGAGGGCTGTCCAGTTCTGGCCCGGCGCTGGCTGGTTTCGGACGAGTTCTTTCCCAGGAAACAAACAAAACCGACGGGACACAAGCCGAGCCGCTTCCTGCATTGGGAAGTTTCTGCAAATCTGGCCTTAAGGCCGTCAAGACCCCAAAGAAAGACTGGGAACAACGGAGGCAGAGCACAGGAAGTCATCTGATTCACCGGAGTTAAAGTGTCATGAAATGTCTTCACCACATTTCAGAGGACAGATTTTCATCTTTGTGTCTTTGTCTAAAACCAGGAAGACGGCAAACGTCTCCCCGGTTCTCCAGTCCTTACACTGGCTCCCTAAATACACTTTAAAATCCTTCTCTTACTTTATCGATAACTGAATGCTTTAGCACCAAAATACATTAAACATACAGAAGCAGCATTCAGCTTCTATGCTCCACAAATCTGGAATAAACCTCCAGAAAACTGAAAAACAGCCGAAACACTGAGTTTATTTAAATTTAGACTAAAAACACACCTGATTAGAGTTGCTTTTGATTAATAATAACTGAAAAAATTAATATGTCTGATGAATATTTTGATTTTGATGGCATTTGACAAAATTAATGTGAATATGCAACCTTTCAGATTAACAATCGATCTGAGTAAGACACACCAACAATTACAAATCAAAACCCAATTAAAATACAATATGCATAATACAGGAAGAGAAACAAAAAGCAAACATAAGAGTGAAAATAGGACTAACATACAACTTGATATTAATCATTTTCTTCAACTTCAAGTTGAAGATTCCAGTTTGATGGAGCAGAAACTGGAATATTATACTGGGATTTAGGCAAAGATAATAAAATAAAGTCGTCTGAAAGCAGAAAACGACCAATAAAAATTAAAGTTTGTTGCTCTTTTACAACTGGTGACTGTTTGATGTTTATGGTGTAAATGACTTTTAACCGTAAATATCTGGTTTTAACTGCCTTGTTGCTGAAATGTGCAAAACAAACTCGACTTCCTTACATGTTTCATATAAAACAAAACTAAATCTTGCAGAAAAATACCAGAGGAGAAACTGAATTGGTTTTTGAACAATAATCTATTTTTTGTTTAGTTTTTAAACCGTTTCTGTCGTCTAGTAAGTCATTTTTTGAGTAAATGTTTTGTTTTGCTTCTTCTAATTGAACTGTGTGCTGTCTTTTGTGTTTTTGTGAACAAAGGGTGAAATTTAGCTTTTGTATTATTTACAGACATGAACTGTAGTAATGTTGAATGATGTGCACCAAGATAATCAAATAAATTTAATTTGATTTAATTTAAAAGAAAAAACAAACTACCAAAACCATCCTAAACCATCGTGAAGATTAAACTCTTGTTGCATCATAAATCAACTGTATTCGTTGTGCACAAAAAAAATATTTCTAAGATAATGAAATTTAAATCTGCTCAGTTCTGCCTTCCTTTTAAAAAAAAAGCAAAATAAACATTTTACTCCTAAAATGCAGCTGATTTTTACAGCTTGGTAATTTTTACCAAAGGATGCATCTGCAGCTAAAAAATATTTATAACAGCTTTCTGCTCAACCTTCCAATACAGTGTAGGGCCGATATGTTGGTTATTTTTTCAATTAATATTTGGATAGAAAATGTTCTAATGAAGGATTTTTTTAAACATCATTTGAAGCAGGTGAAGCTAAAACTATTCCAGTTGAAGAGTCTGCAAATCAAACAGATAATCAACTGCTAAATTAGTTGACGATTATTTCAATCATGATTAATTGTTTTAGTAACAAACTGAATAATCAGCTGCTGTACCTCGAAAAATTGTGTGTAATTTTCGTACCTTTTTAGCCGTTTCTTATTAAACAGCCATTTTTACAGTAAAACCAAATTATATCAGGAAAAAGGTAGAAAGGAACAACTCAGAATGGTATAATCAGGAAATATTAAGACAGATTTATGCATTAAGAGATGAATGAAACATGAAGACAACATGATGAAGGAAGGAGATGAAGACTGGGAGAGAGGGAGGGAACAATGAGGAGGAGGAGGCAGAAGAAAGACAGTGAGGACAAGAAGAAGAAGAAGAAACGAAGGAGTGAGGACCACGAAGGAGACAAAGACCTACTTGTCTCAAGTCACTGAAGGCCAGAAGCAACGTGTCACCCTGGAAGCCTGCGACCGGGCCGGCTCTGGCAAAACCTGTGGGAAAATACAAACCCACCCCCCCACCAGTCCACCCCCAGAGAGAGGGAAGAGAGGAGGAGGAGGAGGAGGAAGAGGAAGAAAAAAAAAAAACAGGGTGAAAAAACGGGAATAATAAAAGACCTGGTCGGATTCGCTATGCATCGGGACAGATTGGCAGACGAATGACAGCGTGGGGGGGGGGGGGGGAGAGGGGGGGAAGGGGGGGGGGGGGG